CGTCGTCGTCGTCGCGGTCGTCGTCGTCGTCGTCGTCGTCGCGGTCGTCGTCGTCGTCGTCGTGGTCGTCGTCGTCGTCGTCGTCGTCGTCGTCGTTGTCCGACGGCCCCCGCGTCGCGCGAGGCCCCTCGGCGGCCACTGGGGCGCCTCCGGGGGGCGGCCGCCGCCGCCCCGCGGGACGCCGCCGCGCGCGGCCGCGGGGGGTGAGCCCCCGCGGGCGCTTGGCGCGGGCCCGAGGCCTCGAGCAGGAGGGCGACGACGGAGCTCTGTCGTCGCTTTCGTCTTCGCTGTTTTGCCGATCGGCACGGGCCCTCGCGCCCCCCTCCCCCCCTCATCTTGCCCCAGGTGGAGCCTCCCCCCACTAGGACGCACCGCACTGTTGCAAAAACAGTCGCACTGAGCTGAGCAGATGTCTGGAGCCAGACCTCCCCCTCCCCTTCGGCGCAGGAGATCGACGACGGAGCTTTCTCGACGATCGAGGTTTCCGGGCGGTCTTCCAGCCTCGGAATGCCTTCCCGCGGCTGCGCCTCGCCGAGCGCGCGCGTTCCGGGAGTGCCACGATCGTCCTCAACGGCCGCCGGAGACCCGAGTTATGATCTAAAAACCAAACTCGGTGGCGAGCGAGGGGTGAGAAGAAGGAGGCCTTCTCGGAAGGCGGCGGGACTTCTCAGAAGGCCCGCGCTTTCTGAGAGAAGTGCTTCCTGCGTCCTCGGGAAAGGCTCAGAGAACTCCTCGGAAGGCCAGGGGGGACTTCCGGGCCCTCTGAGCAGGCCCGCCCCTGCTCTCGGGCGATCGCACACATGCATCAAGGGCCTCAGGGGGGCGTGGATTAGCGACGGGCCTCGCTCCCATGGGAAATCGTCGGTTCCTGCCGCCGAACCAGGGGCACGGGCCGCACGATCCATGGATTTGGCGCGCGGTTGCCAAATCCGTGGACCGCCAATCCATGTTTGCGCGCCCCCGATGCCCACGTCCCTCCGCTCCTCGTCGTGCGTTCCTGATGTCACCGAGCGCGTTCCACCACTCGCAAAGTGCCTACAGTGAAACCCAGGGTGGCCTAGGTTTCTTGGGTTTCGATGTTTTTGCTGTGGAAAGCGCGATGTTCCCACACCAAAAATCAATGTACGTCCTGGGGTCTCAGGGTTGGGTTTCTTGTGGAAGGTTCCTCGTGGACTGGCCTCAACCAACCGTGCTCGCAAGCGTCAAGAACCAATATGGATTCCTCTATGTTTATGATGTTCCATCCTACTCAAGCCTTGATCACCAGAAGGAATTTCGAGCACCAAGAAAATGTCCAAAGCTTCAGGGTTTCCACGTGCCAGGCCCTAGGAGGCGATACTCGTTCGACACTGTTTCGATATTGTTCGGGGTGTTCGAAATTATTTCTGGGATGTCGTCCTTGAGACTGATGGGAGCAACATAGCTCTATGTAATGTATCGAAATCACCCGCGGCGGATTCAGGCCGTTTGCGAGCAGCCACCTTGCCAGCCACAGAACGCGCTTGTCGATTATGGCAGCGCGACGACTGTACAGTCGACCCGTATCATAAGGATGCGCGGAAAGGATGCAAGGGCCTCGGAAGCCCATTTCGAGGCTTCTCGAGCGGGGCGCGGCCAGCGAGAGTGGCCAAGGGTGGACCGAGGAGGCAAGGGCAGGCCCGAAGCCCCGAGAGCCTCTCCCGAGCCCCCAAAGCGGCCCCTCTTGCGGCGCCCTGGCCGCAAGAAGTTGGCGGTAAGCGCCCAAGGGGGAGGGGAGGAAGTGAGCGGGGGCGGGCCTGCTCAGGAGGCTCAGAAGTCCCCCCAGGCCTGCTGCTGAGCAGTTTTATGGGCCTTCCCCAGAGGCATCAAGAAAAGACTTCTCAGAAGGCGCGAGGGCCCAGAGATCCGATGTCGTGATTTCTGTCAATGCGCGGTCCCTGGAAGTCTTGACCTTTTTCCCAGGCCTGGTTTTTCATCCCGAGTCGTTTTTTTTTGACGGTCCCGGGGTCTGGCGCGCCCTATAGGGGCCGACATTTGCGGAAAAAGCGCCGCTTTGATTTTCTCAATGCGCTGGATCTCTGGGCCTCTGGGCAGTCCCGCCGCCTGCTGAGAAGCGCCGTCTCTTCCGTCGGCCTCCTGCTCGAAAAGCGAGAGGCCGCCGCCGCCGCCGCTGGACCTGCCCCCGGGAGGGCCGGTGCCCCCGGTCCCCGCGGGGGGGGGCGCCGCGCGCGGCTCCTGCTCGGCTCCGCCGGGTCGGCTCGGCCCGGTCTCGATATGGTGTCGGCTTCGAGGTCGATGTGGCCTCGATGTCGGTCGATGTCGATGTCGACCGATCTCGAGGTTGGTTTCGAGTCCGATGTCGATCGGTTCGAGTTCGGTTCGGCTTCGGATTCCGAGCGCGGGATTCCCATATTTGTGTTCAGCGGAGGCGCACGGACTGGCCTGCCGATTTCTGCCGATGTTCGACCTCTCCCCGCTCGGCTCCGATTCGACTTCTGATTCCGAGTGGGACTCCTATTTCTCAAAAGGAGGCAGACTAACTGGCCTGCCGATTTCCGCCGATTCGACTTTTCCAGCCTCGGCTCCTACTCGACTTTGGATTCCGAGTGGGACTCCGATTTCTCAACGGAGGCCTATTGGCCTGCCGATGTGTGCCCATTCGACTTCTCCCTATACTCGGCTGCCACTTCCCGCCGATCCCATTCGTTTCCATCGCCGATGCGACTTACAGTCGGGGCCGGATTGGCAGGTCGACCCTGCCACATCAGGGGTGCTCTCGTGTCCTGTGTTTGGCGACCCATTCCTCCACGTTCATGTGGCAATGTGGCCCTCTGAAGGGTCTTGTGTCCTCTCGCGTGTCCTCTCCAATCCCTGGTCCTCTTCGCCTTCTCAGTCGCAGCGTAGTTCGCCGTTGCGCGCTCGGGGCTTACTCCAGATCGTGGCCTGCTGCTTCGCTCTGACGGCGCCTGGCACTCCTGCGCGCTCGCAAGCAAAAAAAAAAAGGCCTCGCCGATCGGCCTCGGCGGTATCGACTCGATGCCGGGCTCGCCTGCTCTGCGCTGCGAGCTTTCCCCCCCCCCTCTGCGCTCCGGGCGGCGCAACTGTTCTTTCGCGCCGAGCGCTGTCGACCCGCTTCGGGCCCCGCGGGGCCACCACATCTCGATGCGGCTCGAGAGAATTCGGGGCGGCAAGAGAGGGGGGGAGGTGATGACTGGAGGTGGGGGGGGGCATCACGGCGTGGGCCACGACATTTCCCCAGATTTCGTGGCGCCTCTTCGTATCTCATTACGTCCCTGCCCCCCCCTCACGGGGCCGCGCACATGCCGTTTGCCATGATTTGCGCCCCCCCTCTTTGACGCCCCCCCTTGGCCGCCCCCGAACACTGCAGCAGAAAGATTGTGTGTAGGGCTCTTGTCGCGATGGTTCGCGGTGTTGCAGTGTTGTCGCGCTGTCGGATCTCGGGGTTCGGCTCCGGCGTTTCTTTTGGGCGATGTCGCAAACAGGGCGGGGATGTCCGCCTTGCTTTTGAAGCTCACTTGTCGTCGATTTCCGCCCTGCTTTGCCGTCGCTGCTTCCGCCGTGATTTGGGTGGAAATATTCCACCCCATTTCGAATCCGAGGCGGGAGTGTCCGTCCCACTGTTTCGGATAGCTTGGGGTGCACGTCCGACGCGTTTGCAAGGCGGGCAACCGACCAACGCACTGCCGATCCGAGTTCGCAGCCCTTCGCGCCATGCAGGCGACGGGTTCTGAGGGGCACGGGCCCTGCGGCTTGTCCCCGTGTCGGGGATTCCACGGGGGCCAACCGCGGGCCCGGGGCTTGCCAGAGAAGCGCTCGAGGCGAAAATCGGCGGCGAGCGAGGGGGGGGGAAGTGAGAAGGAGGAGGCCTTCTCAGAAGGCGGCGGGACTTCTCAGATGCCAGCCTTCGCGCCTTCTGAGACGTTTTCTCCCTGCGTCTTCGGGGAAGGCTTCATAAACAAGTGATCAGACGGCGGCCGGAGGACATCCGAGCCTTCCGAGAGAAGGCCCGCCCCTCCTCATGTTCGATGATGCTCAGGACGCGTGTTGGCCCAATGTGTGTTCGCCCCGCTCCACCCAGCCAGTGGCCATCGCATCGCTTCCGCCGCAGTGAAGGGCCTCAGTGGGGCAAACACGCGTTTGTGCTAACACGCGTTCTGAGGACCCTCTTCTGCGACTCCAACTCCTCCCCCTCCTCCTCCTCCTGCTCCCGTTCCTCCACTCCTCCTCCTCCTCCTCCTCCTTCTGCTCCTCCTGCTCCTGCTCCTCCTCCTCCTCCTCCGTTGCCATTTTGGCTCAAGTGGGGATAGGCCCCATTGAGTTGAGGCAGTTCCTTTCTCGGAGCGTTCCTGGGGTCAGAGCCAGGCGGTCACCTTTCTGATTTCACCTCCCCTGTTGAGGGGGCCCCACATTTTGTGCGGGCAATCGCTCTCGCGGCCATGGCACTGGATGCTAATGCTATGCGAGAGGTCCTGCAGGCTGAGTTCAAGCCCGTGCAGGATCAGATCAAGACTCTGGCCAGTGGCATATCGAACAACATGTCGCTGATCAAGCAGGTCGACGCAGATACGAGTGCGAGGATGGACGCCTTCAGCAGAGATGTCGCTGAACTCCGTGCGCAGCTTCAGGGCACTCAGACCCGCATGGCTGCCATAGCGATGCGTGCTGCCGTCGACACCGCTGGGCCGATCGACTTGGAAGATGAAGATGAAGCGATGACCAACCCCTATGGCGGCCCACGCCGTGTCCGTCTTGTCTCTGTTCCTGACGCGGAGCTTGCTGCGCGCGTCGAGAAGCTCGAGGGTCTCATCGCGTCCCGACCATCCAATCCGAGCAGTACTTCTCCTGGCAGTGCGAACTCACAGCGAAGTGACCCATGGTTTTCTTTCGTGCCCTCTTCTGCTCGCTCTGCGACTCGCCCTGCTGCCACTGAGGAGGCTCGTAATCGCAAAAAGATATGGATTTCAGGATTTCCGAGGAAACTGATGGCCTCCTCTTTCCAGAATCACTTCTCGGTGATTAAAACGAAGATGGACCGCGAGTACAAGGATAAGTGCAAAGCGCAGGTTCAGAACTTCAAGTTCAGCTATAACATTCAGTTTGAAGACGAGGATGATGCTCAGCTTTTCCACGCCGCCACCAGAGCGGACCCAGCATTCCTTACCTGGACTGGCCCTCGCGAGGGGAAAGTCTACCATCTTCGTGCTGGCTGGGATCAGCCATTGCCGATTCGTCAGCGCTCCTTTGCCCTTGGCCAGTGTTGGCAGCTCATTATGGATGGGATGAAGGTGAAGGGTCTCTGGCAGCAATCCATGCGCCTCGGGTCGAACTTGTTCGCTGGCGTGCTCCACCTCTCCAACTCCGCCACGGAGGATGTTTGGGAACTGGTCAAGATCATGGAGAACGAGGGCGAGCTTGGCACCTTCAACATCACCCCGCAGAAGGACATGCACAACCTCGGGTTCGAAGCGACCTTCGTCGATGCTTTGGCTGGGAGGGTTGCTGCCATCATTGCCAAGCAGCGCTAGGATGCAGTATCATCGGACACGGCAGCTGGCTCCTCGGCAGTGGCCTGCAGTACTGGTGAGCGATTTGGACGTCCACGTGCGGGTGCTCGCGCAGTGAAAGCGCGCCTCTGTGTGCCCCCCCCCTTCCCCTTCCTTGCCCTCGTCATCCTCCTCCTCCTCCTCCTCCTCCTCCTCCCCCTCCTCCTCCTCCCCCTCCTCCTCCTCTTCCAGCTCGTCGTGCGAGGAGCCGCCTTTTGTGCTCCCCGGCTTGCACACTAAGATTTTGAATTCGTGGAGAGTTCCTTTTTCTCTGACTGAGTCGTTCGGGGGGGTTGCCTGGAATTCGCAAGTTTGTCTAGGTTCGGTTCATGCCAATCATCAGCGTCAGTGCCGCAAGTACGTATGTTTTCGAAACCTCGTCGAGAAATATTCGATCGTATATACGCAGGAGACAAATGGTACGTTTGATGATCTGGAGACTCTTCGGCGGGACGCCCCTGCCCATTATCATATCGGTAGTTGCTGCAGCACCCCGAATGCTGGAGGCGTCGTTGTATCCATTTCGAAAAAGCTCTTTCACAAGTTCTCGGCCGCTCGAGTGGCCCCCGTCGCCCCTGGGAGGATTCTGGTTCTCCGTCTTGCAGGTCCAGCCGGTCAGTTCGTGCTGGGCAATGTGCACTTAGACCCCGCCTTATCGTCCGGCGGAGTACATCGTGTTTTGCAGCAGCTCAGGCGCGTGGTTCCTGCTCCTGGCCAGGCCCTTGCCTGCGTCGGTGGCGACTGGAACTTTCCTGAGCTCGACGAGTTTAGGCAGGCTGTTGACGGCAGCATCACCATCCCTCCCGATGATAGCATCACCCTCCACAGGTTCTCTAGTCTCGTTGGTGAACTCGCTGAGGTACCCCAAGAAGAACCCACTCATCGTACTTCTATTGGTGATGTTGTCTTATTTGCATGCCGTCTTGACCGCATTTATTGGTCAGCGCCGACAGCCGAGATGCTCGACTGGCACGCGCGCTCTAATGTCATAGGGCTCGCTCGCGACAGACACGGGTGTTCTGACCATGTTCCTGTTTTCGCCCAGGTTGCCCCTGGGGCTGGCCCTCCGTCTCTGCCGAGACGGGTTACTTCGCGCCCCGACTTTCCTGAGCTGGTCGACAGCGTCTTGAGTGAGTATGAGCTGAGTGACGACCCTTTCGATCGCCTTCAGGAATGCAAGGCGGCCATGTTCGCTGCACGGGACGCCTTGGCCAGCCAGCTCTACCGTCTGGGGCCGAGTGACGGTCGTCGAAAGATTGCCGTCTTCCTCAGGTTTATGCGTGCTGCTCGTGCTCATAAACGTGCGCATCTACATGCCTGCCTGCATGCTCTTCCTTATCTTAGCAACTATTACGACTTTCACGACATGTTCTACCTTGACTATGAAGGATTTCATGAATACCTTAGGGCCCCCAACGCTGACATGATATCTGACATGATGATTAATGAGTGTACTACTCGTGCTGGTCAGATTGATGATGCAAGGCAAGCTAGGATGCAAGCCCTTCTCCGCTCTTGGCCGGTGAAGAGGCGCAAGCTTGCCACATTTGCGGTTGGAGACCCGCTCGACTCCGCGCCGCCTTCGATTGAGCAGTCTGCGCAGAATTTAGCCGAGCATTGGGGCGAAGTACATCGTGCGCCTCCTCTTCCTCCTTTTGTCGACCCTCACGTTCTTGCTGAATTAGGTTTCGAATTTCAACAGATTTCGCCTGGCATCTCTTGGGAGCTAGAAGAGTTCGAGCTTCGGTCCGTTATTATGAGTAGGAAGGACTCTGCCACTGGTCCCGATGGTATCCCTTACAGTGGATGGAAAAACGGAGGCCCCATGGTACACCAGTGTCTGTATCAAGCTTATGCTGCCCTTCTCCGTTGTCTCGCTCCCCCTTTAGCTTCAATCATGGCTTACTCGCTATCCTTCCTAAGGTTGACGTCGCTGACGGTGAGGCTAAATCTATCTTGGAGCCCATGCAGACCCGCACTCTCACTCTTAGCAACACGGACAATAAGTTGATCTCTACTGCCTTGGCCATCCCGTTCCAAACACAAGCCCAGTACTCCGTAGTATCATGCCAACGGGGGTTTATTGGAGGCCGCAATCTCTTGGACAATGTTGCTCAGTTGGGGTCTTGGGTGGTTGAATGGGCCTGCTATCGTGGCCTCAGGTATCCTGGCAAGCTCTGTTTGGATATTGCTGCTGCGTTCCCGTCGGTTCATCACTCCTGGATCTTCAGGGCATTGGACGGTCTCCGCGAATGCCATCCGCATGCTGTACAACAACATATGTATACATCGCTGTTTGTGGCTCCGTATTTCCAGGTTTCCATATTTCCCGTGGAATGAAGCAAGGGTGCCCTCTCTCTGCCTTGATATTTGTCTTAGTTGTTGGCCCTGTCGTGCGTTGTCTGCGGCGCCGTCTGGAAGACCGCCCTGCTTATCCTCTTGCCCGTGCTGCTGATTTTGGCATTGCATCTGGTGACCTCTCTAAATCAGTTCCCGTGGTGATAGATTGGATGCAGCATGCAAGTCACGCCGCAGGCCTCAATCTCAACTCCCGCAAGCGTTGGATCGTCTTTGCCATGGATGTCGACCCGGCTTCCGTCATCAACGAGTTTGTTTCTCTTGGTATTCCTGTGATGGACTTTCGTGTTGGGAAGTGCGCAAAGTATCTGGGTGTTTATCTTGGAGCTGACGGAGCCGATGAATCCTGGAAGTCTCCATGCGTTAAGCTGCTCGAGAGGGTCGCCCACATCCGCTCTCTGAAGATTTCTATGATCCAGAACATTCGCGCATGCAACGTTCTCGCTCAACATGTGTTTTCTCTTGTTGGTCAACTCTAGTTTGTCAATGATCGTGTCACCACGACAGAACATACAGCCCAGCAGAGGCTGACGGCCTCTCCCAGACACGCCATCTCCACTTTGCTACTGAAGAATATGGATCAGCTTGGCTTTGATACGGTGCCTCGCGACATCACTTGTGAGAATCGTGCGGCTCTTGTTCTTTCTGCGCTGCGCAGCAAGGTATTCGATTACATCTCTATTCGATTCCACCAGATTGAGCATTGTGATACTGATGTCTTGCTGCTTCCCCGCCTCCCTCATTGGCTTCAGCATTCTGTCACTCATACATGGCTTGAGAACTATAAGAGGCTGGTCGCCATTGCCCCATCATATTGCTGAAGATGACGTGCACGAAGTACTGAGGAAAGTTTTCAGGCTCTTGAGATCCCAGCGCGAGGTTCCTCCCATTGCAAACCTTCTCGGGCCGCGGATTCGATACTTCTGGCCTGAGGCTCCCTGGGAGATCGCTGATGCTGCTTTCAGGTGCATTCGTTTCCTGGTCAAGCGTGCTGGCCCCTTCGCGGCCGTCTCGTATATCAAGACTATCTGTAATGCCTGGCCAACAACACGTAGGTTCCGTCAAGGGGCCCAGATTTGTCGTTTTGGTAGCCAGGCCTTATTCGGTGATGCTGTTGATCACTACCTCCACTGTCCTGCTGCTCTGAGCGCCCTGCCTGTAGTTTTGCCGAATCTGCCTCCTGATTACGCCACTCGAACCAGACATGAACATATTTTTTTCGGAGGCCCCCAGACCAGTCAGAACCTACTATCGACTCTCCTGTGTGCCTCTTTGCTCTCTTCCGCGCGCGCGCGCGGGTGCTGGCCCGCCGACGCGCTGGCACTCGAGATCTGCTGCAGCGAGCTGGCCCAGCAGGCCCGCCCACCGCTGCCGCCGAGAGAGAATGATGGACTGCTTGCCCTCTTCTCGTCCTTCTCTTGCCCGCCTGCCCTCGTCTCGTCGCTATGCCCTTGCGCTCCCCCTCCCCCCCCCCCCCTCGCCCCCCCCCCCCCCCCCGGCGCGCCGCCCGCCTGCAGGCCTCGAGGCGCCGCGAAAAGGGAGGGCCCTTGTCTTGGGCCGCGTGCTCCTCGCATCCCCTGCCGTGGCCATGGAGGGGGGCACCTCCCGCCGCGCGCGGGGCTTCGGCCCGCCGCGGGGCCGCGAAAAAGCAGGCCTCCGCGCCCCGGCCTTCGAAGTTTAGCTCGTGCCCGCCCCCCTACAGAGGGGGGTCGCGGGCGAAACATTTCAAAGATTCGCAACAAAATATTCAAAAGATGCCCAAAATTACTCAGAACGGAAGCCCCTCCTCCTCCTCCTCCTCCTCCTCCTCCTCCTCCTCCTCCTGCCCCATCCTCCTCCTCCTCCCTCCTCCCCCCCCCCTCCTCCCCCCCCCCCCCCCCCCGGGCGCGCCGCCCACCTGCTGGCCTCGAGGCGCCGCGGGAAGGGGGGGGCCCCCGTGTGGGGCCGCGTGCTCCCCGCACTCCCGTCTGCCGTGGAGGGGGGCACCTCCTGCCGCGCGCGGGGCCTCGGCCCGCCGCGGGGCCGGGGAAAGAAACAGCCCTCCGCGCTCCCGCCCTCGAAGTTTCGGTCGGGCCTGTCCCCCCACACAGGGGGATTTTGGACGAGAGCTAAGAAAAATGCGCAACAAAATATGCAAAATATGCCCTAGAAGGAAGTATTAAGAAAATCGTCCCCACACTATTTTGTGTGACTATGTTTGAATATTCCCCCTGGAGGGACAGGCCCGGCTTGATTCTAAGTCGTGCGCTCCTGAATTCAAGTGGAGGCCCATGCCAAGGAGCACCGTGTTCGCCTCCAGTGTGCCTTGGGTTTTTCCTGGGTTTCGATGGTTTTGCCGTGGAAGGCGCGACGTTCCCACACCAGGAATCGGTGGACGCCCTGGGTCTCAGGGTTGGGTTCTTGTGAAAGGTTTCTTGTGGTCGGGCCTCCACTGTATGGCAGGGCGACGGCGGCATGTGCCCCGAGAAGCGTCGGCCCCCCGAGGTCCAGGACCGTAGGCCTCCTCATCCTCCTCCTTTTCCTCCTCCTGGCCCTGCTCCTGCTCCTGCTCCTCCTCATCCTGCTCCTTCTCCTCCTCCTCCTCCTCCTCCTCCTCCTCCTCCTCCTCCTGCTCCTGCTCCTCC